AACATCATTCTTCAAGATCCAGGCCCAGTGTTCCTGCATGGCTCCTCTCTGTATTTCCAGGGCCTGTCAACCCATGTGGGTTATAACATTTACCACCATAGATAACTTGGTATCTATTTCCCCGTAAGATAGAAAGCTACTGACAGAAGGAATTCCCTACCTTCTTTATACTGGTATCCCAAGCACTCCAGCATTCAGTGTCCATTTTAAAAAGCAAGTCTCTGGGTAGAGCTCAGGTTTCATTAGAGAAGGCAGAAATGGGTTCTATTTCAGAACTAGATTCAAATATCCAAGAGAAAGACTCAGGCCTCAAAGACCACCATAAACAATGGTCCATAAAACAATGGCCCATAAAAGCTGATGGTCAAGAAATCACACAGCTGAGAACTGAGGGGCTGACTTGAGAAACTCTCTACGAACTGGAACTCAGGAGAGGTGATTATTCACATCGCTATTTTGGAAATGAATCTTTAACTTGAACTCTTTAATCATAACTTGGCTGCTACAATTTCATACTATGCTATAGCCCGGTAAAGGTAAACCTTCTTCTGTCTAAACACAATCTTCACTTTCAATTACCCATTTTAGTCGTGTTCTCTGAAAGGAGAATTGATGTAGCACACATATTTGCGTTTACTAAGGAAACCATTCAACCACTTTGGAAGGGGCTGTGGCAAAGTGGCCAACAAAAATAATAAATGCAAACTCCAGCTTGTGGCTGTAGTCAGTCTCTCGTCTTACAGCCCCCAACAGAGAAGGTTATTGCTTAAACAGAGGGTGTTCATGGATTTAAAAGCAACCTCTATAGCCAGCAAGCCATAGTCCCCAGGTGTGTAGATTCGTGGTGGCACAAAGCCCTGTTTACCCGCACACATGTTTCTCTCAGCTCCTTTTCTGTCCGATGGTCCATCACCTGAGTCACAAGGAACCATTAACTCGATAACCACAAATATCTACTTGGCTCAAGGTGCTCGGCTAGGCGCCGTGGGAAATACAAAGAAAGGCAAGGCGTAGCGGTGCTCTACCTTCAAGAGCTCAGAATCTAGAAGTATAGAGAAGTGCATAAATTATCATAATGTATGGCATGTATGACAAATAGTACAGGAGAGACACGAAGTGCTGTGGGTGTTTAAAGGAAGGCAGAAGCTTCCTGCTCACGGGATCAAGGATAAGTTTCATCCAAGACGGGGTGTCAGTAGACGATGGGCAGAATTTGGACAGACAGGTGGCTCGGGGGAAGCATTCCAGGTGTAGGAAGCAGTAATCACCAAGAAGAAAGAAAATGTGACTCAAGTTCTATAAAAACAGGTAGTCTAGGGGCTGGTTCACTTGCTCTGCTTTGGTGGCCCTGGGTTTGCGGCCCCGATCCTGGGTGTGGACCTAGCACCGCTCATCAAGCCATGCTGTGGAGGCATCCCACATAAAATAGAGGAAGACTGGCAACAGGTGTTAGCTCAGCAACAATCTTCCTCACCAAAAAAAAAAGCAAAAATAACCCAGGCAGTCTATTTTGTCCAGATTTTAGGAAGAAAATGCCAGATGGAAGTGTCCTGCTCTCCCCAGCATTCTCCTTTTTAATGCAGAGTAATTTTGTTAGCTGATTACATGTTTTAAGTCCAGATAGAAATTTCTAGCCTAGCCTGCTCCTGGTGAGGCTTTAATTGTATATCCTGAGCCAGGTGTTCAGTTCCTAATACTTATCTCCAAATGTGGCCTTTCAGAAGACTGCTTTGGCTGATGTGGTCTGGTTTGGCTTTTTAGCAAAACCTCACTCGGCTTCCCTAACAGGCGAAACCACACTACTTTACTAGTTTTCTCCAGGCGTAAGATTCACGGAGGCTTTTTAGTGGCTATGGTGCTCAGTGTCCATCTTTAGCCTTGCTTGCAAAAGCAGGGGGAGTGAACCCCCAAAATCTCAGATATAAATGAGGTTTCAAGAGTTCACTTAAGAACAGAATAAAAATGGAAATACAAATCAAAACCACAAGAGATAGCACCTCACACCTGTTAGAATGGTTATTATCAAAAAGACAAGAAATAAGTGTTGGCGAGGACGTGGAGCAAAGGGAACCCTTGTGCACTGTTGATGGGAACAGATACTGCTGCAGCCACTATGGAAAACAGTATGGAGGTTCCTCAAAAAATTATAAATGAATTACCATATGATCCAGCTATTCCACTTCTGGGTATTCATGCAAAGAACATGAAAAAACTAATTTGAAAAGATGTATGCATCCCCATGTTCACTGCAGCATTATTTACAATAGCCAAGATATGAAAGCAGTGGCTGGCCCCGTGGCCAAGTGGTTAAGTTCACACACTCCACTTCGGCAGGCCAGGGTTCACTGGTTCGGATCCTGGCTGTGGACCTACAAACCACTCATCAGGCCATGCTGTGGGGGCATCCCACATAGAAGAACTAAAACAACCTACAACAAGGACATACAACTAGGTACTGGGGCTTTGGGGAGGAAAAAAAAGGAAGATTGGCAACAGATGTTAGCTCAGGGCCAATCTTCCTCACCAAAAAAAAAAAAAAAAAAAGATATGAAAGCAATCCAAGTGTCCACTGATGGATGAATGGATAAAGAAGATGTGGTATATATCTACGATGGAATACTATTCAGCTATAAACAAGAATAGAATCCTGCCATTTCTAACAACATGGATTGACCTTGAGGGCATTATGCTAAGTGAAATAAGTCAGGCAGAGAAAGATAAATACCATATGATTTCACTTATATGTGGAATCTAAAAAAAACCAAACCAAACCACAAAATTTGAGCTCATAGATAGAGGACAGATTGGTGGTGGCCAGAGGGGTGGGTGAAATGAGCGAAGGTGGTCAAAAGGTACAAACTTCCAGTTATAGAATAAATAAGTCCTGGGGATGTAATGTACTTAATGTACAGCATAGTGACTATAGTTAATAAAACTGTATTACATATTTTAAAGTTGCAAAGAGAATAAATCTTAAAGGTCCACATCACAAGAAAAAAAAAATTATGTAATTATGTATGGTGATGAATGGTAATAGACTTATTGTGGGGATCACTTTGCAATATACACAAATATTGAATCACTATGTTGTACACCTGAATCTAATAAAATGTTATATGTCAATGACACTTCAATTTCAAACAAAGCCAGGAGTAAAAACTCCTATCTCTTATAGGCATACAAACACAACCAAACACAGACAAGTTTGCTAGAAACTTTCCATACATTTCGTGGGGGTTTTTAGAGACACTGCATCCTTGTTAGGCTGCAAAGAATAAACCAGAGGGCCAGAAAAGCTGCATCAAATTTAAAGATGGAGGAACTCCAGAGACCTTTTAGGAGTGGAAATGGGAATGATTTACTCTCACTCTGACAGACTTGCTATTAAATCTCAGAAGCTTACATAATCAGGGGGCTGATGGGGCCCTAGATCCACTTCTCCCTCTTTCACAGGTTCCATGATTCTGTGGGTGTCTGGGCCCTGGCAGCAAGCTACACTGTATAAGGGTAGAAGCTGAGAGAAAGGAGAGCAGAGGGCAGGGTAAGGTAGGGTAGGGGGGAGGTCAGATGGAAAAAGAGAAGAGGCCCCTTGGCGGAGACAGGCTCCACCAGATGCACAGGCAGCTCAGAGCAGCCTCCCAATTCAGCGTGATAGGCTGCCTCTAGCTTCTCAACTTCTCCTCCTGCTTCCTGTCCAGTATTGACTTCCCCTTTGGCTCTAGGTTCATTTTACCGTGACTCCTGCTAAAGGGGCTGGGGGCATTAACACACCAGCCATGGGAAACGCACTGCCTGGCACTGGAGATAGTCTCCTTTCCGCTTTGCCCTAAATCTGTTCCTACCAAACAGCTTAAAACTTACAAGAGTCAGCGCAAAACACAAATGTTCCTGTCTATCACTTTACAGAGTTGTTTGATTCATTCATTCATTTGGGGATGTGCAGAGGATTGCCAGCAGCCATCCCTACATCTCCCAAGCACACTATCTGGGAACCCTCCCCACCCCTCCATCCTTCTCCCAGAACTCCGTAGGTTCATTTCTCAGACCTCAGATTTAAACTGCCCACAGGGTTGAACGCAAAGCCAAATATCTGCACGCCCTACAGTCCACGTCACCCACGTTCCCACTAACACTAAATTAAAATGCGCCCAAGGCTTTCTTCTCCATTCCTGGGCGACAGGGGTACATCCAGGTTGTCTTGCCCCTCTGAAGCTCTTTGCTAACCTCAGACTTCCAGATGAGGGCATTAGCTGGAGCATTTTAAAGGGCATCTCCAAAGAAAGTTTTGTCACCACCATGAGAGCTCTAATAAACACCAGGGGCCCCTCAAATGCTAGAGACCAAGCCCTCCGGCAACAAGAAGCCACACCTCCTGCCTAGCGGAGCCGCGCGTGTGTAGTCCTCTTTCCCTGGGGCTAACCAAGCGCATGCCACATGTCACCACTCTCAGCTGGCACCTCTCACCGAGCGGCGCAGACTTTCTCGGAATCCCCAGCAAGGGGGGTTGGGGGATGCGGGAGAGGCCCCCCTGTGCTGTTCACAAGAGTCGCCCTACCGTGGCTTGTGCCCTGCAGCCCCACGGGGTGGCCTGGGACCTCGAGTGGGAGGGGGTAGGGGTTCCTTCCAGGAAAAGCTGCCAGCCCCCTGGGCCTTGGCCGTGAGCAACCGTATGAGAGGCAAAACTCTGGGTGGTGAGAAACTAGCCCGCGGCCAAACTTCTCTCCATAGCCTCCAACGCCAACGTGGGTTTCATTGGTCCCCTGGAACCTCAGACGCAGAGGGTACACGGGCTCGCGGCGCCGCGAAGGCGCCCGGCGGTGGGCTGCCGGTCGGCTCTCCCCTCCCAGTGCCCAGATACGAGCCCTGCTCCGCGTCACCTCCTCCCTGGGGCGGCGAAAGACGAGTTCGGCGCAAACAAAGGCGCCCCCTGCACCTCCCTTCGTCCCGAGGGAAGGGTCCCCGGTGGCCAGCTGGCGAAGCTGCCCCGCCTCCGGCCCTACCTGGGAAGCCGCGGCTCGGCGGGACTCGCAGCAGAAGCAGCAGCAGCAGCGGCGGCAGCAGCAGCGCGGGCCGGAGTGCGGGGCTCCCCATGGCGCGCGGGCGCTCCGCTCGGCTCCGCGCTTCCAGGGGGCGGGAGGAGACGGACGAGACCAAGGGGCTGCGCTGCGAGCGAGCGAAGGCCGAGCTGGAAAACTCCTCCTCTCGCCTCTCTCCCTCCTCCCGCCTGGGGCCTGCCCTCTTTCCTCCGCCTCCCCGGAACGCTGGCGCGGTTCGGGGCTCCAACCCACCCCCCTCCTTTTGTGCCAGCGCTTCTTCTGGAAGCGAGGCTGACCACCCCAGGGCCAGAGAGCGCCAGAAGCGTGCCCTAGCAAAGCAGATTATCCTAAAGTATCTCTCTGTTCTCCACTTGCACTCCCTTTCACCCCAAATACACACACTGTGGGGGCCCAACCACCTCCCTGATCCCTCGCACAATGTCGTCTGTGCAGAAAGCTGCGAGAATCGCACAGAAACAGACAACCGACGGGGTCCGGAGCGGCCCATCGCGGCTGGTTATTATGGCCGCGTTCGCTGGTTTGACCCTCACGACCACGCCCCAAGTTTGGTGTTACCCATTTTATCTAAGAAGAAACCGACGCTTAGAAACTTGCCCAGGTTCACGGTTACAAGCAGAGCGGGGATTTGAACTTAGGTGTGTGGTTCTGCCGGCGCCAACGTCCAAACAACAGCTTTTTTGTTTCTCTTTTGTAAAGGAATGAATCGACGGCTGGACCGGCGCGTGTCTGCCGCACTGCGGTTTGGGATGGGGCTTGAGGTTCTCTTTCCAGGATCGGCTGATAGGCGAGCGCAAGGCACAGAAAGTTCCCTGTCTCACCCACAGCCCCGGGAATCCAGCTGTTGTAGTTTCCTGCAACCAGATTTCCCCATTTCCTGGGTTGTTCTGGGCCACCCCAAGGACACCACGACCAGCCTGGAGCCTCCACCCTGTGGCCTGGCATCAGGATAGGGTTTCTAGGCTGCCTGCAGGACGGATCTGGTTTCTTCTTCGAGGCTTTCTCAAATGTGTTTTGTTTTTTTTTTATAAACCCATAAGGCAAGACCTCGTCCCTTTCCTGCCTGTGGGCTTTCCTGCCCGGTGATCTTAGCTGAGGCAAATCCCAAACAGGGCTGCTGCGTTACGTTGTGCAGTTTGGGCACTGCACGAAAGCGCCTGGAAGAAGGGGCAAGTGGGAGCTGAAATCCGGCCACCTCTGGGTTCAAGGAGCCCTGTGCCTTGGCAGGGTCCACATCCATTGTGAAAGGGCACATTTCTCCTTGCCACAGCAGTCTGGTCTGTTAGCTAGACTAAGGGCCCTGGGAACATCCATCCAGAAGGTTTTTGAATTGTTTTATCTTGAGGGCCTGCCCTGTTTCCCAGTTCTCACAACAGCCCCTGCCTTGAACTTCTGTCTTATCCTCTGCAGTGCTCTGGGGCCTCTCTCCACCTCCTGTGAATTTCTCCACTGCTGCTACCTCCTCAAGCAGCCAGCAACCCTTCAATAACCCTCCCGTCACAAGAGAATGAGGGAGGTCAGGCTCTTCTGTGGCCTCCATCAGACCAGACTCTCCAGGGAGTGCTTCTCAATCCTGTCCACACCCAAGAGTCACCCTTGGGGAGCTTCATGAAAATACCATATCCAGTCTTCACCCCAGACCAGTGACACTAGAATCTTTAGGGATGTGGCCTAGAGTTTGACCAGATGCATATTTTTGTTCTCCTATGCTCAGTGGTGCTGGTTTTAGAATGGGATAAATTCTAAGCCAGAGTTTCTCAGCCTAGGCACTATTGCCATTCTTTGTTGGGGAGCGGGGCTGCCCTGTGCACTGAAGGACGTTGAGCAGCATCCCTGACCTCTACGTGCCAGATGTCAGTAGCACCCCCTCATTTTCCAAGTTGTGACAACCAAAAATTGTCTCTAGATGTTGTCAATTCTCCTCTATGGGAAAAGTAGCCACCAGTTGAGAACCACTGTTCTAAACCCATGAGCAAGGGTTAACATGCAGAGACCATTCTCCAAATTCCAGGTCCAGGCTAGTCTGCCCAGTGGCCTTCCTGTCCTGTGTCACTTCTGGAGTAAGCTCAAGAAACACCACACTCTGTGTTAAGAGTTGCTCTCTTTGCTACCATAGAGCAAACTCCAATCTGATTTATTATGATGATGATTATTATGATTATCATTCCAGGCCCCTCTCTGATAGAAAGGATGAGGGCAGAGAGAAGGTAGGGGAAACAGGTTACCAATTCATCCCACAATCTCTTGGTAGACAATAGGGTGTTTAAGTAGATTCAGATGGGTTAACGAGTTGATGAAACTGGAAGAGAAGTACCTCAGGGAGTGCCACAGAGCTATGATTTCATTCCTGTCCTGCTTGACATAACTGTTAATGAACTGGAAAAAAACACTTTTGTGGCCAGCCCAGTGGTGTAGAGGTTAAGTTCACACACTGCACTTGGGTTGGATGGCCCAGACTTCACGGGTTTGGATCCCAGGCACAGACCTACACACTGCTCATCAAGCCATGCTGTCATGGCGTCCCACACACAAAATAGAGGAAGATGGGCACAGATGTTAGCTCAGGGACAATCTTCCTCACAAAGATAAATAAGAAAAAGACACTGTTAGCACAAGACACAAAGATAGGCAGTTAAGAAATAGGTCCCAAATTTCTCTATAGGCAGGAATGCTGTATTGACTCTGAACGTTGAAAGATAATAAGGATCAATATGATGCCGTACATTAGATCTCAAAACCAACCACACAGGTACAGTAAACAGGGCTTCACAGTAGTACCTGTGAGAGTGCATCCTAGTTGCCTACAGGCTACGAAAGACTTGCCAGGCACCTCAGGGCCACGCTGCCAATGCCTGTTCTGTCCTCTGAAGCATTCCTGAGTGCTGGGCAAAGCACCAGAGGTGAGGAGAAGGGAACACAGACATCAAAGTCTGGCAGGAGGAGGGGGGGCGTCTTTCTACCGTGTGCAGTGTGGAGGAGGTTGGAGTGAACAACACAGTCTTGTTGTCCCCTGAGGCAGAGCAGAGTGACCCACAGTGGAGAAGGAAGGAAAAGGTTTCCCAGGATTCACCCATGCTTTCTTCCTTGAGCTTGTCAACTGAGAGACAGCGCTGAATAAGAAACTGGCAGCCACGTACCTACTGCAGGAGAGAGATTTTCTGAGAACATCACTCAGGGCCCTTCCCTCCCTATGCCCCTACCATCTTCCCACACCCCGTCATTCTCTTACCCTCTCAAACCAGTTCTTCTTTTTCCACATTCTTTCAGAGCAAAGGGTCTGAAGTTTAAGAGGAACGTTGCTGGCTCACCCTACCTTGGGAAATGGGTTGGCAGAGGAGTAAAAGTCGAGGAGACACTCAGGAGTGATGCATCCCAGGGCAGTGCTATTCAAACTCTCTGTGGTAAAGAAGGATTTTTAAAAAATTTCCAATGCATCATTGATCAATGCTTTTGTAAAATTAATCAACATGACTCACTAGAAAAATAAAATGGAAAAAAGACAGAGAGCAGCACTGGTCCAGAGACCACCCTTTGAGTAGCACAGTTATAGTGGATTTAGTCTTTTACAGACTGCATCTGTACAAACTACAGACTCTACTAGACTCTCCAGGTTTCTTCTTTTTTCTTTTTTTGAGGAAGATTAGCTCTGAGCTAACATCTGCCACCAATCCTCCTCTTTTTGCTGAGGAAGACTGGCCCTGAGCTAACATCTGTGCCCATCTTCCTCTACTTTATATGTGGGACGCCTACCACAGCATGGCTTGATAAGCAGTGCCATGTCCATGCCCTGGATCCGAACCGGCGAACCCCAGGCCATCGAAGCGGAACATGCAAACTTAACCGCTGCACCACCAGGCCGGCCTCTCCAGGTTTCTGAGAAATCGAGACTAGAAGGACAAGCAGATTTGACCTCAGTCTACTGGAATCATGCTCAACGAATGCCAAAAGGGTAGGGTGAGTTGGGCTGGTACTTTTTTGCTCATTGGGGTCTATTAAAAATCTAGATCTGGGAGGGTTAAGGTAAGAATGCTCAAGGTCAAGATGAAAAAAGCTGAGGCCAGTCCAAGAATAGTATCTGTTTAAAATCCACTGGCTTAAAGAGATTTCTTCTCTTTTTAGGATAAATATTCAGGATGAAATAACACAAGCTCTAGAGGATAAAAAAAATCTGCAGCGTAAGGGAAAGAGAATATTTCATTTTTCAAAGGAAAACATCTCTTTTATGAAAATAATAAGCTACAAAAACAAGGAAAGTCTATTTTAGAAAATATCTATTTGTTGTATTCAGTAAAAGATTCAAGAAAAAAATGCTTTTATAAACTAGGAATAGGAGGTCAAAAGGAGAATTGTGAAATGTAAGAAGGCAGAGATTTAAAAAACTGAAATTAATGACTTTGGGGTTCAACTGCTGCATGCTGGGAAGTCATCATTCCTGTCCTGACAACAAAAAGCTGGGCAAACAGAAAAATCAATGACTTTTCTTGGACCAAATAGAGAAGTGAGTTTTCAGGGCAAATCGCCACTAGTCACTCTGTGGAAAGACAAGCATATGCAGACAGTCACAGCCAAGATCTGCTTACCTGCAGCAGAAGACATGCGGGAGCCATAAATTGGTAGGAACACTTAAATGGCAATTTAGAAAAATTGCTGGAAGCTGAGTGTAGACTAATATGAGAGTGAGAAACTCCTGGGGGCTGAAGTCATAGCAGGGCCCCCCACACTGCTGTGGGCTTTACCTCCAAGAACCCCAGCAGGGTTTCATGATGAGGATCCAAGAAAGCTCCTTCCTGCTCTGGCAGGGAGAGAGGAAGGGTAATCGTTCTGAAATATGCTCAGAGACTTCCCCTTACAAAGAACTACTCTACAGGGGGAAAGACTTTACCAGAGCGTTATGTCCCTTTGGGAAAGGCCATTTCCCTTACTAGACCTGATGATGAATTCCCAGAAAAATGTCACTTAGGGAACTGCTCGTGTGGTTTTGCAGGGGGCCTGCCAACCACAGACACTCCAAATCTTGGTAATAGGTGTGGTGACATGAGCCATACTGGGTCAGTAGGAGAACTGTAGCCATTGTAACTAGAGGAGTGGGCACAGGTGCCAGCAGGCCAATCAGATTGCTCAGAGATTTTTAAAACAGAGGCTGGGTGAAAGAATCCCTCTTATTTTCCTCCTTGGTTAGGCATTATATGAATGTGACTTAAGAAATGGCAGTTTTGAGTGGGGCTCAGAACAAGAGAAAACTCTGCAATATGTCTAGGCTTCTGTCCAAGCTACTCTGACACTGGGGCCATGTGACCCAGGAGATATAGTAGTGCTCAGAGTGTCAGTGGCAGACAGAGAAGCATTTCGAAGGCTGTGGCAAGCTCCTATAGGTGAAGCAAAATCTGACCCTTAGAATTTTGTAGCAAATCCCTGCCATCCTTTGTGGACAACGACTCTCCTTTTAAGAAACAACTTTTGGCTTAACACTGGGCCTTGGTAGAGACTGAATTCTTAACCATGGGC